TGTGTGTGTGTGTGAGAGAGTTGGAGGGTAGTGAATGTAGAGAGAAGGCGTTGCTTCATGTCCTGACAAGCTCTTTTGCATTTCTTCTGAACTGCCTTTTTTATTGCCAGAGAAATAAGTCAACACGTCATGCTAGCATTGTCATTCTCAGCCCCAGTGGAAGCTATATTAGTGTGCTTAGCGTGTGGTGTGGTCAGCTGTTTTCCATAAAATTTGGCTTCTTTTTTGATTAATACCCAGGGACATGTGTTCATTCTCACTACTGGCGAGAGCCTAAAGATGCACTCAAACCAAATTGTCTTGTTGTATTCATCCAAATTGTGTTGTTCTGTGTTTTATTAGCCACAAACAGCCATTAAATCACCACAAAGTACATGAGCTAGCTAAAATCAGTCACCGACAGGGTCACTGACTCATTTTCTCAAATCACTCCCCCTTTTTGGTGTGTCTGTGCATTCATGAAATGGAGTCAGGCCCCAATTGCGCTTTTTTTCCTTGAAAGGTCAAATTCTAATGTGAGAAAATAAAACACATGTTGACTGATGAAATTTGAAATTTGACAGGCAAAAACACTACATACATGCAAATACTTTCTATGTAAACCAAGGGCATTGATCTATTTATTCTCGCAGGTGAGAGTATGCGGGGGGGGGGATAATGCAGTGTGCCTTTTTTTATTACAGCAGACATGTCATAGTATGAAAAGCACATGTGTTACTAATAACACTAACAGTTTCTGTTTTGTTCAAGTACCTCGGTAAGCCATAACAGTGTGACAGTAAGTCAGCTAAAAAGAATTGAGCCATCATTATTTTTTATTATTTACACCTGTGCTTTCTCTACTTTTAACATGCTTGGTTGTGCTTTCTTTTCTTTCTTTTTTCTCACTGTGTAGGAATCAGATTAACTAAGTAGTAGTGTTATTGGCCCCACACCCATAGTACGCCCTCTAAGGTGTTTTTAATGGTTTTACTATGCCTTACTGACATCCTTCTGACCCTGTGTTGACTTTTGGACCCTTGTTAGGTCAGGACAACACCTCTGATTCATTTGAGTGCATTGGGTTTGATGACTACAGCAAACTCCACCCAGCATAGCTCCACCCAGCCCGCAACCTGAGCAGAGGTCTAATTATCTATCACCTGCGTGCGGGCCTGATTATAAGCTTATATTAGATGATAAAATATAGTAATTTAAAGTATCATTGTTATAAGCATAACAAAAGGTAGATTTAATGTGTGGCTGTGAACCCTGTCGCCGCATCCAGTCTGTCACATCTACATCGAGGCGTTAACCACCTACAGCAGGTGTCGTCCTGCCATCAGCGGCTTCTTCGTTTCCCTTCCCTGCTTCCGATGTTCCCTCCGCTCCCCGCGCCAGCAGGAGCAAGGCCCTTCAGAACCTGTTTATTATGCCTCTTTCCGTTTGTTTAAAACAAGCCTTGTTCGGGTAAACATCATCAGTGGAAGAGCCTCCCGCTTCAAGAGAGGAATGCAGGCTACGTTCTCTGTTATTATTCTGTGGGATAACTACTTTATCATTACTCCTCTATATTTGTCCTTCGTAATTGATATAGGCGTTGTTTGTTTTCCCTTTATTCCCACCCACCTCTTCCCTGAGAATCCCATATTAGATACAAGAGTCACAGACGGGGGGTTGTGGGAGATTTAGGAGGGCAGATAAAGTGGGCAGGAAAATTCTTCATTTCCCCTGTAGACCGCTGGAGCCATTGGTGGCTTCGCCGCCTTCCGAAATGTATTTGAACATCAATGCGGTGTTATGAAAGCTTGATGAATGTGTTGATTTAGTGTTATCATTTACAGTGCCTGCCAGTTTTCTCACATTTAACACAATCTTGAATCTTGATTTGCGGCCATTTGATAATATGTTGTTAATAAATAAGTCCAGATTAAAACCACTTTCACAATGTGGCACGGCACTGCTGGTTTGGGTCCTGGTTTGTGGCGTGTGCTGCCTTCTGTATCAGTTTGGGAAAGGGCTTGTTGGAAGCTGACCAGCAGAGAGGCCCAGTCAGTAAAATATCAAATGAACTGTGATACATGAGCTTCGCTGTATAATGGATTCTGCCAGTCATTGTGCAGCAGACCTCTCTGCCTGTTATTCCCTTGCTCTCTTTCATCAATTCTGCCTCTACTCTACCGGTATGTGTGTGTGTGTGTGTGTTTCTGTTACAGATTTAAAATGTACCTGCTCCTGAGTCAGTCATTGAACCTGTTGAATTGGATGTACTGTACATGCAGATGAAATGTTCCTGCTGAATGATGCCTTCCAACCTTTCCTAGGTCTCACAGGGTCAAGCCGGGCCACAACATCTCCTGGTTCCACAATGCAAGCAGGCCTCTCCTCCTGCACAGTAGGCAGTGTTTGTGTGTGTGTGTGATTGCACATGCGTGGCCCCCTTCACTCCTCTACGCCAGCAGTAGCTCCCCTCCATTTTGATCACTCCCTTTTTAGCGTTCACAGGGCTAACTGAGTTTGTGCATGTGTCACCCACTCCCGTCTGCGACTTATTACCTTGTTATACAACCTGACAGACAGATGAGTGTTCTTGTGACTCACTCATAGCCTCAAACAGGCACGAAGACTCAAGCATGGTTGCACACAAACACACACAGACACACACATTTCAAGATCCCACTGAGTCACTAAGCTTATATCTGCAACTCTGTTGTGTGTTTGTACAGCAATTTACTGACCCTTAAGTGAAAGGACGGTTTCTAAAGCCACATAGAAGATGACAGGAACGCTGTTAACGCAGACGCTGGTCGGGAGGATGTGTGGCTTGAGCACTCACAGGTTTTCAGGCACAGTGATGCTCTTCGAAAGGAAGTGTGTCTCACCACAAACTAAACACCCATTTCGAGAGAAAAATGAACATATATGGTGAAGGGACATTCCCCTAAAAAAAGACAAAGCGATACCCTGCTGGTAAGATGGCCTAACAGGGGTTAATGTACGTTATGTTTGGATTGTTTCCATACAAATACGGATTTGTCGGATGCAACTGTATTCTAGAAATTACATTACTAATGATGAATGGAAACAGAGCATGAAGTCATAGTCGGGTCACATAATGATTTTTAGCCATGCAGCCTTGTTTCAGCCATACTTTACCTATTCATTCAAGCTGTAGCAGATAGTTCTGGCGGTGTGCACTCAGGAGTGACTTGTATATGACGAACGTAATGTGTATGCATAGGAAAACACCTTTTTTGCTTCTGTGATTAGATATCTCCCAACAATAAAACATGAGCTTCATTTGCCTTGTTGGATTAGCTTGCCCGGCCTCAGCTGCCAACGTAGCAAACCACTACATCTGAATGTTGCCGATTAACTCCATTTTAGTAAAAGGAGTATTTGTAAAGGCTCGGTGTGAGCGTGCACAGACCTGCATGTGTTCGTATCGATGCAAACAGGGATCAAGTTGCTCGTTATGTGTCGCACATGTTTTAAAGTGCCAACTTGTTGTTCAGATTCATTCATGTTCCGCTTCCTTACACTTATTCTTGGGTTTTTCTTTGAAGTGGCTCGTGTATCTTTTTTTTAACATTATTTGAATGTAAAATACACCAACCACAATCCTTTTGTTGAAGTCTTTTACATCCTATAATAACATCAGGACGAATGCTAATTCAGTTTGTTTACCATGTTGTCAAGGAAACGGTAAACATATCGCCTAAATGGGTTACCCAGAGGCACGGATAGCGGTTGAAGATTTTTGAGGTCACCAAGCACCCTGAGGCAGGCTGGGAACTGCAGTCCATATGAGCAGTTATATAAGCTGCGAGGGCTCTTCCTCTGGATTTAAGCCATGTGTTTTCTGCTGCCTTGAGGACCACACTGAACTGGCAGGCACCATTAATTGTCGACCCGAAGGCTACTCGTGCACAGAAAGCCTCCAGTGTATATAAAATACTTATTTGTTGCACACACAAAAACCATTGACAGCAGTTTAGGCAATCAATAAGTAAGTGTGTGAGGAATGGCTTTTGGAATGATGCTCGGTGTGTGCTGCATGCATGCACGTCCGCGTGGAAGCTGCATGTTTATGTTTACTTGTGTATATTTATGTTTGTTGTATTTGTTTCAGGCAGAGGATTTTTCTCCTGAGCAGTAGGCGGTCGGGGTGGTTATGGGTCTGCGGCTGTCAGGAATATTCCCAGAATCCATTCAGAAAAGAGACTCGCCTTCACGCTCTGCTGAGAGGGGGCTACCCATGACATCATTCACACTCACCCACTGTCTCTTTGACCCTGTTGCTGTGCCTGTTGTGTGCTGTTCCTCTTCCTGTTATCCCCCATAGGGTCATGCTTGTGTGTTGTGTGTGTGTGTGTGTATGACTGTTTTGTAAGCTTAGAAAGCTTTTTCCACACCTGCTATGGCTCGCCTCCAAAACTCTGCAACCTTGAGGCTCTCATCCCCCCCACACAGCCCCTGCCTGCACTTCCTCTTTTTCAGACTACCTCGGCTCCCACTGGCAGAGCATTGTGTGTTACACTGACATGCTTTTTGTCTACAGGGGCTCCTAACTCAACCTCAGGACCACCTTGAATAACAAATGTCCCCACTGTGGGGCCACAGACTGCACACTGCTTGAGTTATGCTGTTTTTTTCTCTTAGCGTCTTGGCTTGAACGTTACAGTGGGAGTCTGAGTAAAAGCTGGCATCTGCCTGTGTGTGTTTACTGTGTACTGACTGTTTTGTGTGTTTATTTTACAGACACTACCCCAAGACAAACTTCACCTGTGTGGCTGACACTCCAGAGAACCTCCGCCTCAAACAGCAGAGCCAGATGCAGAGCCAGGTAACTCTTTGTGCTTGTAGCTACTCATGGCTAAACCAAACTCCAGCTATTAAACACTTTGGCATTGTTCCACAAAGGTGGCAAAAGAAAGACATGTTTAATTTGAAAGCTTGACTTGACTTAACCCTGAAAATCTTTCATAAAGCCAACTTTCAGATAACATAATCAGTCTAATTCAGAGCTAGTTTGAACGGTCAAGATAACTTGAATGCTTAAGACGTACCTGAGAAGTCAAGCATGAAATTAGAGACGTTAAGAGCGGGCTGGGAGGTCCAAGGTCATTTAATAGTATGATAAATAGAATATGTTACTGTGAATAAAAAAAACAAGCCTTGCTGGCCAAGTAAAGGTTAGAGTACACAGCCAAAGTCTAACACAAGAATGTTGGTTCAGTTATTGAGACTTTAGGTCCCAATCCCCCTTATATCAGTTCAGCCTTTTCAATGATGAATCCACCACAAGTACACTAGACATTATAGGGTAATGTAGTTTAGAACTATGAAGTAGAAACTTGCTTAAATCTGTTTTGCAACACTTCCATTTCCTTTTATTGCTAGTTGAAAAAAAAAAAAAAAAGCTGGTTACGTAAGAAACCATTGCAGCTTAGATGCCCCTTTACACTGGTCACATTTACCTGTTCAGTTTAAATAAACTGGCAGAAGTCTGGAGAAAGCACTGCCTTTCGGTTGAGTATTGTAATTTTGTCTAAGCTTGAGCTAAGCCTGAAAATGATCCTAATAGGAATAAGTCTGGAAAAATTCTTCAGACCATCTGTGATTGGTGGAGTTTGTTTTTTGACGTGTTCACACACTTATTGTACGACTCGCCCCAAAATAACCCAAATATACTGTAACACTCTTCCTGGTGAGGAACGGTCTTGTTTCTTGTTTCACACCGCTGCTCTCACTGGTGTTAATATGTCTGGCTGTCATTTGTATGCTTTTTATGATGGTTGCAAACTGGATTATAGCCTAATAAATTTTGTGCCACTTATACCATGTTTGATGTGGCCCAGTACTGATGCACTGTTCTTTTCTCTGCATCTTTTGTTGCTGTATGTTATTTGCAAGGCCACCCAAAGTGTACTGGCCATTTGACCTTTTCGTCAAAAAGTCCCCAGTCTAATTTGTATCCACAGAACAACACTACCATGTCTGTTCCTGCCGAAGCTAAAATAACAAAGACCCAAATATATTCTAGGATTTAAAAAAAAAAAAAACCCTCATCAGACCAAAATATCCCTCTGAACTGGGTCATGTGTTATTGCCTTAATAAATGGCTCTGATACTGACACTCTGAGTGTCAGAGATTGTACTTGCCAACACACTTTTAATGTTTTCCCACAGTGGCTGCCTGTAGTTAAAGCCTGCCTGTAGTTAACAAATCACAGATAAAGTGGCTATAAAATGTTGTTATTTGTGGTGGCAGACATTGTTGACCTTGAAGGCTGTCATGTGAGGTTTCACTTCTCTTATTCATGCCTGATGTCTAGGGAGTGTCTCTTAGTATTCTAGGAAGTTGTGAAGTAACCACCTGCATGATGCATTTTAATGCAAAATTACACATTAAATGGAAGTTTTAGCACAATTAAGTAGAAAAGCCCCTACAAATTCAGTCATGTTGAGCCTCGTTAATCACAAAAAACGTATGCAAGATCCTGGAGGGACTTATATTTTAATGTGGACAGTGGTCAGTGAAAGGGGATAGGGAAGGTTCTTTAGGGGAAAGGCTGAATGAGAGGCTTGTTTTCTCAGCATGTAGTAGAGGAGAACGCCCAGAGATGAGGCAGGGCTTATCAAAAACTGTCAAGTCTTAACTGAGTGTCCATGTCAAACACTACAGATGAGCCCAGGGTGTATGCATGTGAGAAGGGGTTTTGTGGGGTATTGGGGTGGGGGTAGTGGTCATATGAGGAGAGGGATAACCGAGGGATCGAGGAACAGATGGTGTTTTTCTACATGGATTGTACATCCCAACAGCCCCCCACAAACAACCAACCAGCATACACCAAGAGATGGTCATTGTACCGAAGGTTTATCATAGACACTAGCCTAAGAATGAGATTATTACACTAAATATGTTTGTGTGTGTGGGTGAAGGATTTGTGTAATCATGAATAAAGATTAGCGTCACTTTTTGTGACATTTTCTTTCTCTTCTCTACAGCAGTTGTGTGAGTGGTCAGTGGACCGGAAACTATGATTTCATTAAAAAACAAAAAAAATAGGGCTTTTAACGGAAGTAGACTGGTCTAAAATATATTATGATCTAAAAGTTCCCTTCAGAAAAAGGACACAGCTTGAAGTTAAGTCCTCTCTTGGCAAAAAACGGCTCAAAATATGCTTTTGGTTAAAGAAAGTGGGGAAAAAAGTGGTGTCAAACAAAAAAAAATGCTGATTATGCTGCACTAGACTCTCTCTCTAAAAAAAGTTGTTTTTCAAGAACTTCCTGTTAAAAACTACAGTACATTTGAGCTTCAAGTGGTATTTTAAAATATCATCCTATTTCATACCCATTCATGCATCCGATAAATTCTAATAAATGAAACATTAAATACATATTTCTATGAAATGCACACATACAAGTGTACATGTAGTTAATGTAGATATGTTAGATGACATAGGCCTCTTGCACTGTGGTGCTTGTGTGCTACAGTAAAATTCTCCTGCACTCTTTATATCTTTATAAGCGCATTTGTGTCAGCGAAAGGAAGTTGAAGGTGTTTGTGGAGAACCGTGGCCATCTAACCCCTCACCACCACTGCCGCCACCGCCGCGTTGCTACGGGAACCCTATTGCTATGGTAGCAGGGTAGAGGTTTGTCACACCTCATTACAAGACTTTGCGGGGGGAAACAGAAAGAAACAAGTCTGAGAGAGAGAGAGAGGGAGAGAAATAAAGAAACTGGAGAGAGCGAATTGGGGAGGATGAGAGGGAGAGCAATGAGGCGCACATGAGTGAGGGAGAAAAAAAAGGAAGAGACAGGAAGGCACCAACAGACAGAGAGAGGGAGGAGTGCAGGGTGAAAGAGGAAGAGATAAAAGTAAAATCCCCAGAGGAAGGAAAGCTAGAGGAATGCAAATAGAAGCAGAGAGAGAGATTATAATGAGGAAGAGCTCCAGCTCTATGGGACGATGTCTGCTGCTGTTGAGGCAGTAAAATATGAATGAATGAAAAAAGGAGCACAGAGAGACGGAAGTGTGGGTGGGGAAAGAAAGCAGAGGCGTGATTGGAGGAGAAGAAGCTGTTGCATAGACCCAAAAAAGACAAAGGAGATGGACTGGTAAATGAAAACGGGGAGGATCATTCGTAGAGCGATGGGAGCGCAGCGAGAATGAATGACAAAGATGGGTCCGAGGCCACATTAATCCTCCTCACCACTTATCTGTGCGCGCAGGCTCGAGAGCCACGTATAATTTCCCGTGGAATGAGGATCATCCGTAGGATCCGTAGCTTTCACCCAATTTCTCAATGGACGTCACGCCAGGGGTGACGACCGATACGGACGCATCACACTGCATCACACACACACACACACGTTATCTGTGAATCATAACCACGCCGTGTCATCACGAGGCGTCGGGAGTTGAGAGGAGGATTGGTCAGCAGTCTGTTGAGCGGTGTCAGACGTTGTGTGGATGTCGGGGGAGGCGGGACAGAGCTTTCTTTCCTGGTATGGCAGGAAATTGGTGCAGTCACCATGGAGGCAAGAGTGGGGGGGTGTTGGTTGGTGCGGGGAGGTGGAATTAAGTGATTTGTCCTTGTTGAAATGTCCCAGCACGTGTCGAGGAGATGAGATGGAGAAGAGCCAGAATGTGTGGGCTGTTCTTTCTTTTAGTTTGTAAAAAAATAAAACCTGTACCTGACTTCCTGTTTCAGGCTTGTTAAGTGGTGTAAGTGGTTGTGGCTTTTTGAAATGCTTCGAGATCAGCCACAGGGCAGCTGTGAGGGGGGAGAGCACCGTGCATTGTAATTTCTGATTCACATCTGACACTGCATGGGCTGGACGTTTCCTCTTCGGCCTCGGGGTCAGGATAGGGGGTGGGTATGCTAGAAAAACATCACTACCACTCTTGTTTGTCTCACAATACCTCTCATTATGACCATGTATGGTTGCTACCACGTCCTTCCCTCCTCAGCAAACAGGAAGTGAACGTCACCACTAAAAAGACTAAGCAATATACGTAGTGCCAGCCTCTTTTTGCTTGTACTCCTAACACACAGACACACACACACACTGTTAATGCTTCCTTCAGTCACAGTTTTAAACAATCTTTGTTAACGATGAACTCAACACTTTAGGTTATGTGATCGGTAGGAAGGTAATTTAACTCAATACAATGAAAAGGTGATAAAATGTTTATAGTAGCACATGTGTAATTTAAACTTTTATGGCCTTAATCAAGAAAATACTTTAAAAATTAGAAAAATGTTCCTTTAAACTAGAGGTGACATTTCAGCATTTCCATGTTCGTTAATATAACGGTGTCGAACTGTAATAAAGTAAACAGTAAAACCATTTTCCCCCTGTTGTAAAAATATTTTATTCGGCCACATTAAAGCTCAGAAGTGATCCATTTGCGAAGCCAAGTACAAGTACTTATAAGGTGGAAATGATGTTAATTAATTTCAAACATGCAGACAAATATCAAAACACCCCCTCCTTTAATTTGTATATGTTGAAAGAATCTAGGTCAGAGCATCTATAAATAATCATTTGTGCTGGGTTTGTTGGACTTTGCTCATTGACTCACACAAACACATTGAAACTGTTTTATCTGGCTGCGAAATTCATCTCAGATAAAATGTGGCACATATTAATTGCCTTGCATGTTCATACATTGTTTTTGCTTCTAACCGTGTTCTTGTTTGTTCTGCAGGTTCGCTACAGGGAGGATTTTGAGAAGAATAAAGGGAAAGGTTTCAGCGTGGTCGCAGACACGCCGGAGTTGCAGAGAATTAAGAAAACGCAGGAACAAATCAGCAATGTAAGTGCAACAGAGACGGTCACCCTCCTCTCCACCTGTTTGTGTCTTTAAATCTTAAAGGAAGAGCTCTAAATGTATGGCCATAATCTCTTTGCCAATATTGAACTGAGGATTTGCGCTGAGGAGGGTAATTGGTCTATATGAAGTGCACTGGGAAGGGTCCTTTCCCTCCTTGAGAATTCCTGATATCACAGCTTCAAGCTACCTTTTTTAAATGCAGGTCATGCTTATCTGGTGCACGGTTAAAAACTTTGCATAATAACTACGTTAGCTCTCTTAGGAGGCTTAATAAAGTTCACCAGTGGAAACAGCAAGATCTTTTTCCTTTATTTCACCTCCTGAGTTTTCCTTCTTCATCTCATGCCTCGGAGAGAGCGTCACCAGCTTAAGATCTCAAGCTTTATATTATTTCGCATGTTGTTGCTTTTTAAGTATGTTTTATCCTCCCACTTAGGCACCGACATCAGTAAATGTCAGGCTTCCTCGGCTCACACCGCTCCTGGTTTATCGTAATGGAATTCTCCCCAAATCGCTTCCCACATGAACCATTCTCCTCCACTCTGCCCTCCTCTCTCCCTCAGCTCCCCTCATTGATTTGCCATTTCTCTGTAAATACAGAGCAGCGATGTAAAAATGCGTGCAGTGTTTACCTTGTGTCCTGAGACTGCTTAAGTCAGCTGTAAAGGCCTTTATTTCCATGCGACACACACACACGCATAACTAGCTCTGCACTGGCCTTGCTAATGGCATAATTAGTGTGGAGGGTGATGGGTAATTACCGCTTTCATGTGGTGAAAGATCCTGCATGTCTGAGATCAAGGAAATTTGGAAGATACAACATATGTAAAATGTATTTATGGGCGCACACACACGCAGACCACATCAAAACAACAAGCGCGTTACGGCGGGATGGATTTGGGCGCATTGTGAAGTGATAAACAACACATCTGCTTGCAATCAGCGTGTCATTCACAGCCCATCATAAGGGAATCAGATGAATGCTACATCTTTCCCTCTTTTTGTTCTCTTCCCCGGACAAACCAGTTTACTTGGCGCCCTCTCCAGAATCTCAGCAATGTGAAGCCTTTCATTCACTTCTGCTCGTCTAGACTCGTCTGTCATTCTTCTTTTGTTAAGTTTTTTTTTTTTTTGCTTTGTCATGCTTTTCACTGTTGGTCGACTGACTCTCTTCCATTTCCCGTCACCTTTCTCTTGTCAAGCAGCAAAGATTGAGAAGCAGTGAGGAGGGTTCAGTTCAGTTCAGCAGCAGCAGCAGCAGCAGCAGCCTGGGCCACTTCCTGTAAATTCACACACACCATCTGTTCGACCTGCTCCTTCGCAACAAACCAAAATAATCTCCTTTACACACTCTCACTTAGCATATTGCACTTGAGAACAGTCGCTGTGTTCTCTCAGTCACTCGCCTCACTGTCTTTGCACAAACACTCAGTCATCCCATCCAGTCTGCGAACGCACTCCCCGCGAACGCTGCCGGGCACAGTGGGCTCATTCAGTGCGAGTGTGAGCGGGGACAGAATCGGGGTTGTAAATCTTGACCGAGGCACTGTGAGTCAGTCTGTTATCAGCCTGGTTAATAAGGGGGGGCCGGGTTATTTAGTGCAGTCATAGAGCAGTCACTCAGTTTCAGTTTCATCAGTGTGGCCCTGTTTCATGTTGGAACGTTGAATGTGGCCTTTGTCACACTGGCTGGAGGGGTTATAGGTTACTTTTTACCTGAAATTGTAGTGCAGGTGCTTCCTTTTTGCAGTTCTGCCTCAATGACCAACTTCAGGATTTAAAAACAAAGGGCTGAGGAAAAGGTGCAGTCACACCTGAGAGGGTAGTAGATCAATGATTTATGTTGCATTTTGCTGTGTTTAGTCATATGATCCTCCTTCCCCCTCCTCTTAATGTTTCCTCTTGAATCACCCAAAAGCTTCTAGTTAGTTCCCCTTCTTTGCTTCACCTGTTCTTCCTGATGTGTCAGCGACGGTTGCTATGCAACTCTGAGCTCACACTACTTCCGGCCACTGAGATGTCATTTCCTCTCAGCGTCAAGCCGCTTCCTGAGGCTTTGCTGCACGTAGCGCGCCCCACCTATCGCCTCAGACACGGGGGTGCTGGAGAGCGTGCGGGAGACCTCTGGTGGATAGAAAATGAACTACACGCTGTGGCAGCTTCCTGGAAATAAGACTGCACCTGTAGATTTGAAGCTCTTCAGTGTAGGTGCATTGCATTCTCCATCTTTATCTATGTCCTTACACTGTTTGTGTTTGCCTCTTGCAGATTAGGTACCATGAGGAGTTTGAGAAGAGGAAGGGAGGAGAAGGCCCACATCATCAGCCGAGCACCCCCAGCCCAGGTATTCCTTCTAACTTTTTAAGTATATACAGTTTTTCTGATCACTCAGTCTACAGTTATTTTGATTAGATAGAAGCAGCAGTACTGGATGTAGTAGTAGAAGTACAAGAGTAGGTAAAAGAAGAGCCATATTATTAGTATGGCTGGATACCATGAAGGGAATTGGGAAATGTAGCCTTTGTTGTGATTTGACTCTTCAGTGCCTGATATTTAGGCCTTTTTGGTTCTCTGGGAGAAGCACACCAAGTATGTAAATTTTTCTTTGAGCTTCTTGCATTGTCTGTGCTCGGCTCCATCGCTGCCACAGGCTGTATGAGCTCACCACGCTGGGTGTTGTCTCGTCACACCACTCCGGGATCTTTGTTGTGACTTGTAACTACTCTATTCAGCTGCATATAGCTTGCACAATTTGACAATAAATACATTTACAAAGAGGTTTATTTATTATTCATAAGCCAAAAGATTGTTTGCTGAAGCTCGGAATGAGCAACTTTTAAGTCATAAATATGAGCAACAGAATGAGCATTATGTATGAAAATGGCAGCATCAGGAGGTCCGAGGAAAAGTAACGGTTGAGTATTTGAATGACCTGTTTACCTGTTTGTATTTTACATGCATGATTTACACTCTTACAGAGAAAGGCATTAGGCAGTAGGTTGTGTAACAGGGAAATCAGGAGACGTTGGATGCACGTCTTGGCTTGCCATGTTTCTGAATCCTCACACTCTCACGGAGTCAATGCAGACATCCAGGCTGGAGTAAATACACCAAGCATTAACATGCATTTGCTTTATGTGTTGAAATCTTCCCAAAACATTTTAATCCAGACTTGTAGCTTGCTGCTGAATCCCAGTATGAATACCAGTGGGTCTGGTATCTGAGGCAGAGTTACAATAGAAAATGTGTTTCCAGCTCATTCATTTGCCCTCCACTGTGTACCTGCAGGTTTCCAGCCGCCTGCAGCCTCTCAGAACTTCCACTATGAGCCCACTCCTGAACCAGTGCGCCAGGCGGCTGCCGCCCCTCCACCGAGTGCTGGGGTAGGTCCAGAATAGACTTTGATTAATAAAAAATCTGAAAAGTGTTTTGTAAATTGTGCAAATATATCATAATTTATATTTATAAGTAAAGCAGCTGAAAGGTCAAAAGGCAACTATTTTGATTCAATTATTCGTTTATTTAACTTGTCAAATGTGAATATTTGCTGTTTTCTTATAGACGTCTATGGTAGTAAAATACATATTTTTGTGTTAATGTGCTCGCACACAAGAAATTTGAAGACTAATAGATTAACTGCAAAACTAATCTGCTGTTTAGTAAACATGAAAATAATAAATACCTGTTGGATTTGATTTATTTACTTGGCAGGTATCCTGTATAGTTAACAACTGCACACACAGTAACACCTACATTAAGATACAAGTGAGCCATTCAGACACATGTTATCTCTGTAGTCAGTTTTGAAGCAGCTTTTGCTTTAGTTTTCAAAAATCGCATTCTCACAGAGATGAGTTCTGCTGTTGCTCCGTTCTCAAACACCACAGCTGTGCTGGCTGTTGTCAGGAACTCACTGAAGTACTTGTTGTTGTCCACAGAAGCGGTACAGGGCAGTGTATGACTACGCTGCCGCTGATGAGGACGAGGTGTCCTTCATGGACGGGGACGTGATCGTAGATGTGCAGCAGATCGACGAGGGCTGGATGTACGGCCGCGTGGAGCGCACCGGCCAGCAGGGCATGCTGCCCGCCAACTATGTGGAGGCCATCTGAGTGAGAGGGAAAGAAAAAGAGGGAGATAGAAAGAAGGAGGAGGAGGTAGAGAAAGGGAGGGGAAGAAGGAAAGGAAAAGCCCAGTGCCATTTCATCTTAATGCCGCTTTCTCTTGATTTTACTCTTGTCCCCTAACCTGTCCTGTGAGACTCTGAACCCCCCAAATCCCCAACCTCCCACCCCCCTTCTGCATCCCTGCTCTGCTCTCACTGTTCAGCTCCACCACAGACACCCTCTGCCTATCTGTCGGTCTGTCTTTCTCCGTCTGTCTGCCTGCCTCTCTTGTCAGTCTGTCTGTGTCGGTGTCTGTCTCTGTCTCTGGATGTTTGTCATTCTCTTTACCTTTTCCCCCCCAATCCTGGCTCCACTCTCGTGCCGTCACAAGTCTTAAAAGATGAAAACTCAGTTCGTCGCAGTATGTCAGGGGTCACGCCGCATCACACATCTCCATCCTAGCTATAGCACTTACCAATCCTGACACAACATCGTGCAAAAACAAAGAAGATAAAATAACGTGGAGAAAAAATAGAGCCTCTTTTCCCCCCGCACCCCACGAGTCAGTCGACACAGCTGCAGACGTTATTCTGTGGATAAAATAGGTTTGAAGTGTTGGTGGGTATGTGGCATTTTCATAACCCTGCTTCTCTATTTT